AAAAAAAAAAAAAAAAAAAAAAAAAAAAAGTCCTCCGATCAACCAAATCTATGACAACGAGCATTACGTGCATTCGATTTGTTTATTATTATTATTATTTTGATTTCGTTTCTTGCCGTGGATTTTGATTTGTTTAGTATTATTATTATTTTGATTTCGTTTCTTGCCGTGGATTTTGAAAACGTGCCTGACGCTAATCAGTGGATATGTTCTTTTCCTTTTTTCTTTCTGCAGATATCAATAAATATTTATTAAACAAAAAAAGAAAATCTTATTTTTTTGTTTAATCGTTTAAAAATGCGACAGACAACATATCCCGCCCGGATTGCTTTTATTTCTTTTTCTTGTTTCTTGCCGTGGATTTTTAAAACGTACCTGATCCAAATCAGTGGAGAGGCAAGGGGCCTCGATCCACTACCCTCCAAATGTGCAAAAAATGAGACCGAATCCGTCGCTAGAACATGGAAAGATACATTGCCATATTTTTTTTAATCTTTCGTGAATTTGGTGAGTAGTGTGCATCGAGACCCAAGGTGTCTTTTTTTTTTTTTTTTTTTTGAGGGGAAAAAAAGGGTGTCACTCTTTCGATGTCGTTTTTCCTGTGTTCTCTTTTCTGCCGCCCTGCCGTGATACTCGAGCCACTCTTTTTCAGCCTCAAATGAATGTATACAAGCTATCTTTCCGCTCCGATGCAGCCATAATGACGGTGCGTTGTGTGTTCCGTGGTAGACAGTAGGTAGTCCTAACCAGGAGTGAACCCACCTTTTAAAACTATTTAAATTTTGAAAAAAGATCCATTATACGAACCTCTGGAAAACAAAAAACAAAACAAAAACAAAAAAAAAAAACACGGAACCCAATTCATGGATCAAATTCGTGGGGAATGCACACCCACCTTTGGGCCCAAGAGCGAGGACCCGCTTGCTCACATAAATAAATCCTGTCCGTAGATCAGAGAGGCATTGCTCAAACAAAAAAAATACAAAATTAAATAAAAATAAAAACGAGTAATAAAACGCATAAATGTGTGTGGTCATGTCCGCTATACACAACTCCTCAACAAAAAACTGTTTCGTCTAACTTTCTATTCGCGGGAAAACCAATTAGTCTCTCTCTCTCTCTCTCTCTCTCTCTCTCTCTCTCTCTCTCTCTCTCTCTCTGTCTGTCTCCCCACCCCTGCACGCCTCCCCTCCTTTCCCTCCCCTTTCTGGGCCTCTGCCACATGTTTCTCTCTCTGTGTGTGTGTGTGCGTGTGTGTGTGTGTGTGTGTGGAGGCAAGCGGGACCTCGCTTGGGGAACCCTCGCACAGCTTTTGCGATTCACAGTCGCCTTTCGTTCGATACTTCGGGGGGTGGGGAGGGGGTGGGGAGGGGGTGGGGAGGGGGTGGGCGGCGGGATGGGAGGGCGCGGGCGCGGGCGCGGGCGCGGGCGCGTAAGGGACCAATTTTTCGATTTGGGGTTTAGGGTTGGACGATGAGGAGGCGCCGTTGACCCCGCTCCCTGGGTCTACGGCCGGTCTGGGCTTGGCTCGGCTTGGCTCGGCGTCGGTATCGGTATCGGTACCCAACACGGGACCACGGGAGAATCTTCCTCTTCGACCGTCGATTCCAACCATCAACGGCCAGAGGGTAAAGAACCGGCGCGCGGTCCCACCTGCCCGGCGGGGAGATCAAGAGCTGTGTCTACCCTCAATGTCTTTTTTCTCCTCTTTTTTTTTTCGCTCCACGGCCGCGTTATCTTAATCAGTGCCAGTGGGACCTCACCCCCCGTGTGAAAGTGGGACACAGTGCCAGTGGGACCTCACCCCCCGTGTGAAAGTGGGACACAGTGCCAGTGGGACCTCACCCCCCGTGTGATAGTGGGACACAGTGCCAGTGGGACCTCACCTCTGTGGGGAAATGTGTGCGCGCTCTGTTCTGAAAATGAACAAGTGCTTATTCACTTTTCCATTGAGCTGCCAGGGGTGACCCGGGCAACCAGGGGTGCCCCCGGGCGGCCCGGTTGCTAGCCTGATCGTTGAATTTAGACATGTTCAGAAGCTACTAGGCCGTCCCTTGGTCAGGCATCTCCAGCCATTTGCGCGCACAGGTAACTCCCAGACCCCCTCCGGACTCTCGACGGTGGGCCTACGGACTTACGTACTTCTTTTTCTTTATACTAAGAAACAAAAAAAAAAAAGTTAAATTAAAGAAAAATAGCTTCCGACTGCGCACGGCATCGGGTCGGGAACGCGACCATTGGGCGTTTTTTTTGGTGCGGGAGCAACTCGACTGTACGTGCACACTCCTCACTACGGACCTTGCTCCACTACAGACCATGCTTACTGAATGAATCTGGAGCTGAAGGAGGTCCGATACATTCGATGGGTT